ACACACACACACCCGCGCGCGCACGCACACACACACACACACGCGCGCACGCACACACACACACACAGACACAGACACACGCGCCCACACACACACACACGCATTTGATGACTGCACAAGCAGGCTGAATGGGTTGTCGGCACTCAGATCTGTGATGGACTGGAGTAAACTGCGACGGCCAAGTGACCTACTGGCAGTCCAAAGAGGACTTTGTGCTCTGCCAGCCGCAAAACATTGAATTGAAAGAGGGGATAACCCCAATCTGTGGTTTTGCCGCCACTTGCAGCCCGAGAGTAAGTCCGAGGTGCAAGCAGATGTGGCAACAGAAAAGACGAAGGCACAGGAGAAGTGTCAGGAAGTCTTGTGTAACATGGCCAAAGAGGGGACCTGGTGAGACACAACCCGATGGGAGAGGAAGGCAAAATTTTGGCCGACGTGACGCGGTGGAAGGCCCTAAACCCTAAACCCTAGTTGTTTGTGTGTAATTTTTCTGTTTGCAATTGAAATTAAGAGCAGGCTGCAAGTCGCTCTCCATAGTGGACTAAACGAGAAGCCAGAAGCTTTTCATGCTTGTCCTCTGCTTGAGGTGGGTGTACATAGCCGACGTTGGGTGGGGTGGGTTGGGGTAGAGCAACGCAAGAGAAGTGTCGTCTATCCATTGCCGGAGAAACTCCCATTGATCCCGACAAGCTCTTTGGCAGGGGCGACGCATTCAACAAGAAGGAATGTGGCTGCAAGTCTCCCTAAGCCTGCGAGTGAGCCATAAATGGGAGAAGCATCCAGAAACTCCAGACCAGACTTGCACACAGATTCATACGACCGCGGCTGGAACGGAAAATCAGCATGAGGGACGCTCTGACGCTGTGGCACAAGGGTGCCTTCAGACAAAAACACGAGCTTGCTCATCGCCAGACTTCGCAGAATCCACCCAGAGTTTTCATAGTCAGAGACCGGTGCACCGTCATTTCGTTCCAATTTCCGTGAAAGCATCAGGAGATCGGCAATCGTCTTCTCCGTCGACACATCTTACTACACTCCTGCCCGTGCTACCACGACTTCTACTACTGCGACGGTGTTACAGACTGCTACTCCTCTTCTTCTTAAGTCTTCCTACGATTCCTCCTACTAATCCTCTGACTACACCTGCTGCTACTGCTGCGTCACTGACTACTTCGACTCTTTACCCCTCATACACCAAAAACAGGCCCTAAACCCTAAACCATATACCCTGAACCCTATACCCTAAACCCTAAACCCTAAGAGTCTCTCAAGGTCCGCAATTGCAACAGCAGCGGCGGCCGAGACGCAGCGGCGCTACCAGGAACAGTTCAGGTTTTCAATGGTTTAGAGGTTTAGGGTGTTTAGGGTTTTAGGGTTTTAGGGTTTAGGGTTTAGGGTTTAGAGGTTTAGGGTTTTAGGGTGTTTAGGGTTTAGGGTTTAGGGGTTTAGGGTGTTTAGGGTTCTAGGGTTTAGGGTTTAGGGTTTATGGTTTAGGGGTTTCCCTAAGGGTCCATGTAGCCAACTGGTATTTACTTTGGCCCCAAAGTACCTATATAGGGACGACATGAAGGCCAAAGTATATACTATTTGGGTACGTGGACCCTTAGGGTTTAGCATGAGTCAGGCAGGACAGAACATGTCCTGCATACGTTGGGCCATAGCAGCTCTCTGGATAACCTTGCACATGGTGGAAGAAAGGCTTCTTTGCACAGGACTGACTAGTTCGTGCAGTGGTTGCAATGTCTACAGTAGCAGTTGCACGGTAGTATCTGCTTCAGGGTATGAGTCACAAGGCTTCTTTCAACTGATGACATCATCATCAGCATCGCCTTAATCACCGTTACCACGATCATCACCATCAGCAGTTCATCACCATAACCATTATCATCACGTCCGTCACCAGCACCATCACCAGCACAGTTGTACTCAGAAGTCGTGATCGCCGTCCTTCTCGATAGTTGCGCAAGCAAACAGAGTGCTGAATTCATGTATGGTTGCACTCCTCATGGTTGTGCATCCTAACACGTACTTGTGCATCCTAACACGTACGCAGAGGTTTGATATTCCACCCTCAACCTTTCTTCCTTCCCCCTTCCACACGGAACAGTTCATCTCACCTCCAGTACCCTTTCTAACGGGTCAGCTGGGTTTTGTGTGTGTTCTGCCTTCGCTGTCTTTAACGGTCCCCCTGCCCAATGGAACGGGTCGCCCTCCCACCGGCAGAACGGAACGGGTCATCCGCCCTCCTCCCCGCCTGCTGAGTGACGGATCGATGAGCTTACATTCCCTGCCCAGTGGAACAGGTCATTCCCCCTGCGGAACGAAATGGCTCCTCCGATCCTCTCCCGTCATGCTGCTCTATGCGGCCCGTTGTGTCTGGTGCAGGATCTTTTGACTAGCTTCCTTCGCCTTTCTGGTACGGCTTTGCCCTCTCCCCCACAGATCACAGCTTACACCGTTCAAGCCCCCCCCTCCCCGCCCCCCCCCCCCCCCCCCCCATCCTGTGACCACCACGAGAAAGAAAACATGACTAGGAATACCATGGTGTCTAAGGTAGCCGACCAGGAGAAGGTTGGAGTCAAGGCCTATAAGCTCCTTGCAACGACCTTACGATGCTTTTTCGAACCGGACTGCTGCCACCCGAGCTGGAATGATTGTAGTGTCTTGGCAGCAGGAATTGTGTCTGGACACAGCATTCTGCAGTAATGCTTGCTCTGTGTTTTTCTCGTGGTGGTCCAATCCTAGGAAATAGCTTCGTCCGAGCGGGCCATTCTGTGACCATGCTGAAAGCTACGATCTTGAGTGCCGTTTCCCACGGCCCGTGAGCACCTTACTCACGGTCGCGGCTTTGTGTGCTGATGTGTGGCAGCCGCAAACATGCTTCATCAGGTTCCAGTCGGGCAGCAACTGGTTTTCGAAGCAAGAGGTGGTGCAGCAGTACATCAGCCGATTCCGTGATGATCATCAGAAATGGGAGGAGCTAGCAGACTTGATGTGGCAGGACATAGGCTACCATGTGGAACCAGACTCAGTGCCTGATTCCCTGGAAGCCTGGGCCAATCACGATGCCATCACCAAGCGAGGGTTGTACGTGTCTTTGGCTACATGATTCAGCTCGCTAGGGTGTGCATCACACGGATAGACTAGATAACCGCTGCTTCATTCAGCTTAGACTTCTCGATCCCTGCAGCTAAGATCAGAGCGAAAGGCTGGTTTTCGCTCACCGAGCGATGTACCTCCTTGGCCCGAGACTGGACCATATCAGCTGAGATCATGGCAGCACTCTCTGCAGCGACTCCATAGAATTCAGTGGTTCTCAAGAGATGGGGTCGTGCTGGCTGGCGGCTGATAAGATATAACGATTGTTTTTCCATACAGCGAATGGGATGTTAGTTTCGAGCTTGTCGTAGTGGCCCCGAACAGTGGCTTGTGCTTCTACAAAGCTGGATAGCCGCAGAATAAAAAGTGAAACGAACTGCCAAGGATCAGACGGATGGCGACATGGAGGTGGACAACCCACAGCCAGAGGACGAGGAAGATGTTGAGGAGCCTACCACCAGAAAGGAGTTCCAGGCTTGGCGATCGAAGTTCCGCAACAACGTTCACGTGAGTGCTACACTGTACCAAGACAGGTCACTTGCCTACTTTGCATCGCCATAGGCCTCACACCTATTCCCCTATCCTCTGCTTCTGTGCTCCTTGTCAGCCAAGGCGCCTGCAGAGTCGCATCAGAATGCTGGCCTTGTGCAGCAAGCCCGTTTCCCAGGAGTACTTCAACACTCTTGAGAAACAGCAGGAAGGGCAGGCCGTGCATGTTAACCCATTCCGCTAAACCACGAAAACCCAGACCCTAGAACCAATAAACACCGAAAAAAAAACCAAGGGCTTAAGAGCCTAGCCACCCCCATGCCCAAAGTCTCAAAGATAAGAAGGCCGGTAAAGTCAGCAGTCTAGGCTGCACAGTTGGAGTGGGCTGCAAACAGAAGCTCCGGAAGCTGGTTCGTCACCGTGCACAAGACCTTGAACCTGATTCACTCTGCCAGCTTTCTCCAAGAGCTCCCCGTGTCTTCGTGGAATGGTTCACGGTCGGTAGGAGCTGATGAAGCATGGGTGCAGCAGGAGTCGGCTTTACTCAACGAGGCCTGGAGGCTCCTGGTGGAGCTGGCATCTGCCAGGACTGTACCTTTTCATTTCTGTTTCACTTGTTTGTCTGTTTATGGCATTGATATCAGAAGTTCTGTTGCTGTCGATGATAGTGATCATGCCTCTAATGTCTACACTCCTCCTGCAGCTAACATCTCGGCACGGCTCCGGCCGATGCTACTGCTACACAGGATATGGTCACAGGCCATGTTCTCCTACGTACCGCCCCACATGCTAGCAAGTGTCTTCGGGAAGCCAGCCGACCGGAACTGGAGCTTGGATCTCTTTCGCAATCTCGACAAGGGCCTCCGTGTAGCAGTCCGCCTGGTCAAAGACTCCCCTGACAGCACTGTTGGGGCAGAAGTGCGGGCTCTGCTCAAGGACGTCTGGTGGCACGAAACGCCACTGTGCCTAGAACTCATCCAAATTGCAAGGGACTCTGGCTTTACAGCTACTGATCGAGAGTTGCGAACGGCATGCTTCGGCATGTTCGGGGGGCCGAGCAATACAAAGTACACAGCGGAGGATGTCTTTGCCCATCTCACCGACATCACCAGCCGAAGCCAGAAAGGCTGCATGCGAATGGCAAAGCCCTCTCTGCAGCAATCTAAGTTACAAGCTTTCCTTGGTCAGAATCCAGACCCTAAACCCTTACGATGTAACCCTAATTTCTGTTGCTTCTTGCGAACAGACTTCATGGACCAAGATGGAGCAAATTTTTTTATACCACGACATGCCAATCGTCACGGCACAACGGCTACAAGCATATCGATTGCGAGGCATCGGATTACATGGAGTACAAAGCCGACCGAAGCGACAGGTCCGGACTCTACTTTGGTGCCTCCGTGCCTCCTCCAGACAAGCTAGAGCTCAGCAGTCTCCTGCAGGCCAGGGCTGTGCAGGGCATGCTTTCTTTTTGTTTTGTTTTTTTTCTTGAATACAAATGATACCCTGGACCTAAGCCCACACTCTAAGCCCTTAGGTCAAGGACAAGTGGGGTGTTGCTGGAACCCTTGCAGATATGCGGATGTGTGCTGCTACCTGGACTATTGCACAGTGCTACCAAGACGAGTTCTCGCGAACACCCGATTTCTGGACAGGCTAGTGGATACCCTGTAGTCCTGAGAATAGCCGCCCTCTGAAACCTTCTAACCTAAACTGCTCTATTCTCAAACAACCCGGATGTTCAGCTTAATTAGTGCCATCTCAGGGATTAGGGGTCAGGAGTTTTCCGCGCTTCTGCAAGGCATCTTCTTGCCCAAAGGGCTTGTGGTGCTGCAAGACGATGGCACTGCCGCCCTAAGCTTGGGATTCCAGAAATACTGTGCTCTGGCCATGCCGCTAGAATGCCATCCCGGTGAGTCGCCTGATGAATGCTACTTTTCAATTCCAGCTACGGCTCCGCACAGGCCAACCTGGCTCTACAACACCACAGCAGACATCACCGATGAGCACCTCAAGGGCTGCTCCATCGAAGTCCTGGCCCCCGCCCTCGTGCCTCGTCGTCTGCGGAAGCACGGCTGCATCCTCAAGAGCCTCTCGTCACCTGAGCCGATTGTGAAGGCATCGTTGAGAAGTGGCGTTTTCCTGAACGTGCCAACGATCATCAAAGTGTCACGGGTCAATGGTGCCGACCCTCCGATCGGCACAGGGCCAAAGAACAAGAGTGGGAACCGATCCATTCTTAAGTCTGATCGTGTGGCTGCACTGTTGGCCAAAGTCTTTCCGGATCTTGACAAGAACAGCTCTGAGTACATTCGCATCCACACAGCCATTGTCGGCAAGGGTCCTCTGCTTCGCGTCAGCGAGAACATCGCCGATGAGGTGCTGGAGGGCATAAAGATTCTCGATCCTGAGAATGCTGAGAAGTTCTCTGGACTGAGGCAAGTGGCTGAAAAGGTCGAGCTTGAAAAAAAGGTTCGACAGGAGATGCAGCGATCGGAGGATGCTGCTGGACGAGGACAGATCCACCGAACCATTGCAGAGTAAGTCACCGTTCTGTCTAGCTGCTAAACTAAACTAATACCTGAACCCCGGCCTTAACCCTTCAGATGATGACTCCATCCGGGACCCCACAGGACCCAGTCAACAGCAGAACCTGCCAAAGTCCCACTTCACACCCAAAGCTTTGATGCTCGGCACCAAACCAAGATTCGTCGTACTCAGTGTTGTATTGGTTTTTTTCGATCAGGGTTTTATGCTATGCTTTATGTTCTTGTGGATCCCAGTAATATAAACCTCTGAAACCTGCCTTGCTTCGCAGGCTTCGTCTCCTACCGGGAGCTGGCCGAATCCCCGAGGTCTACATACAGAGGAACCCAGCGACAACTTCCTTCCAGGCTTTCTATCCAGGTGACTTGGCTGTCGTTACCACACCTTACAAATGCCAAGACTGCAATGATAGGATCCTTGAGGGAGGGGGGGAAAGGGGCACAAGGCCAGTAGTCGATAACCCAGTAGTCCCATCCGATCCAAACCCGAAAGCCGTGCCATTCAACTAAGTGGACAAATCAGCTGGACTCGGTCCTGGCAGCCGTTCCTGCAAGTGGGGCGGTGTACAGCGAATGCTGACGGAACATGAAGCATTGTGGGAAGTCCTGTCTCGGGTATGGGACCTCCACTTCTCATACAAGAAGCTGGTGCAGCCAGGAGATGCAAGGCTGGTGGCAGAAACTCTTGCGAGCCCTCAATCGGTAAGTGCCCACCCTGTTTATTGGTTTGGAACCCTAAACCCTAAACCCCAAACCCTAAAACTTTAAACCCCAAACCCAAACCCTAAATTCTAAACCCCAAACCCTAAACCCCAAACCCTAAACTCTAGAAACAGCAAGGCTGGTGGCAGAAACTCTGGTGAGCCCTCAAAAGGTAAGTGCCCACCCTGTTTATTGGTTTGGAACAGGCCGACACGTCAAGCAGTCAATGCGGTGGTGGACGAAATCCAAAAGCATGAAGCACTGCCACCAGAGGACAGGGACACCGGAGGTGCCAGCAGCAGCAATGCCGGTCCTGCGCCAAAGGCGCCAGAGCCGGCAGCATCAGCATCCAGCCATGCTTCCAGTCCAGCTCTTAAGGAGAGGGGCAGGGGCAGGGGCAGGGCACGTGGTGGGGCAAAAGCCGCACGAGACAATCGCTCCTGATCGACATTCGGGCGCCAAAATAGCATCCCAGGTTTCCTGCAGCCCCATATCATATAGCTTCTGTATCCCAAACTAGACAAATATTGGCTCCTTTGTTACAACCCATGTGTCCTATGTATCCCAAACTAACCCAAAGAATAAACCCCTTCTCAGACAACGAAAGCTCACAACCGTGTTCGGACAAGCGGTGTGCTCTCTATCTGCAATCCCATGGATAAACCTAGGATTCCTATCCTTGCTTTGAAGGATACTCTTAGGATAAGCCCACCTTTGCTTATCATGATGTTATCCCTATGTTATCCCAAATCAATATGATAACCCATGGATAACCCTCTATCCTAAGCTTTTCCTAAGACTATCCTACAGGTATCCTGGGACTATCCATACTTAGACTATCACCAACAAAATGGATAAGCAAAGGGGCCCCCCCCCCGGGGGCCCCTCCCCAACTCCATGAGGTTCATTGGCAGAGAACGATGAATTGCGAGCTGACCACGACCGTTTGAGGCGCAGAGGTGACGGTGCTGGTGGATATTTGTTGGCCGACTGTCAGAAGTTTCTCCTTCTGACCGGCGCACGCAGAGACCTCGCCTGAAGCTGGGCGCGTAAACCCTAAGTCCCAAACCCTGAAACCCGAAACACTGACACCCTTAACCCTGAACACGAACAGAGCTAGTAAGGAGCCCTTGCAAAGCCCTTTTAGAAACCTTACGAACTGCCCGCGGTGTCGAAGCAGAGGAGCGTGGCAACTGCGGCCTTTGCCGAGGGCGACACGGCTCGGCTTGC